TCGTGTTAAATAAAAATCCCAGGGAAGCTCTCAAGGAATGATCTGAAAATATCCTGATCAAAAACGGCAACTCAACAACCGGTGTTTCCCCCTACCGAGCCGCCGCCATCGGCTCACTTGCTAATGAAAAACCGATCAATGAGCCGACCCACGGGTCATCCACATACACAAAGTACTTCACACTCACACCCAAGCCCGCTCTGCCCGGCTCGTTAGTAATACTAAAAGCATACAACCCTCATCACCGTTCCCCCCAAAAAAGAATACACCTTTCGGGTGAGAATAACCCCGGGCCACATCTCCGAGCCACACTGCCCACGACCCACGGGTCACTCACTCACTCACTCACTCACCAGCATTTCCGCCGCCGTGAGCCGCTTCCGCTCCCCTCCGCTGACCCCCCGAACGAACTGGTCGCCCACCAGCGTCTCTGAGCAGTGCGTGAGCCCCAACAGCGCCATCACAATGTCCACCTTGACCCGGGTACCCCAGGCCTGACGCAGGAGAGCCTCAAACTCGTCTTCCGGGGCCTTGGGGGGAGGAGATGGATGTGGGTTTTGTGTGTGGGGTGAGGGGGTGGGGTGGGGTGGGGTGAGGTGAGGTGGGGGAAAGCAGGGGCTTGTCGGTGGGGTGATTGGGGGATGGGTGACGGCGGTGGGGGAAGTAGCGTGTGTGTATTTTTTGGGGGAAGGAAGCGGGGTACGTCTTACACATGTCGTATCACCGTGTAGGGGTGGGTCACATTTAATGTGTGTGTGTGTGTGTGTGTGTGCAGAGGTGGGCCCCCCCCCGCCGGTGGTATAAAGGAGGAGGGAGAGAAGGCGGGGATGTCCGGGATGTGTCCGATCCTATTTGCTGAGCCGCGGGTAGCAACTGGCATGTGTATGTATGTATGGTTGGTATGTATGTATGTATGAATGAATGTATGTATGTATGTATGTATGTATGTATGTATGTATGTATGTATGTATGTATGTATGTATGTATGTATGTATGTATGTATGTATGTATGTATGTATGTGTGTGTATGTATGAATGTATGACGTTGATTACACTGTGGGCTGAAAAGCCGGGGGCCCAGGGCCGAAGCACAGCGCGGGGGGCGGGTGCATACGGCTGGTTAGTCTCATGCACTCCGCCCCCGGGTCAGGCCGCACGGGAAACGACGGCCGGCACGCAACAGCGCTTGTTTGGCGCTCCAACTAGACGGGATCTATGCCCGTTGGTCTCCTAACATAAACGAAGTCGCAACTGGGGGGCTCTTCCTGCCGACCGAACGAACCGAGCATCTCAGAGAGCTCGCTACCAGGACTTGGGCGACCGGGAGCCCGACGAGTCTTCCCGGGCTGGGGAGGTCACCAAGCTCAAAAATCCTCACGCAAAAAAGAGCGCAAAGAGCTCACACCACAAGACGCCAAACAGCCTCCTGAGACTACTACCCTCCTCCGCCTCTCCCTCCCTGGGCTAGTCCAGGGGAGATAGCCCCCGTCGAGGGGGTAACACCGCACAAGTCCGCGCCCTTCCACAGCACTGGGTCTAAATTGAAAAGTACTCAAACGGGAAGACCCTGCGGCAACGCAGGGCGATCAAGCCTCCGGAAACCACAGGGGGGGAGGGTAGCCAGCTCGGCGCCCCCCCAATACCGCTCTACCAAGACGGCTGGTTCCCAAGATCCTATCTCACCTAGACGCCGCACCACGAAAAACCCGGTCTCGTACCCTGAAGAACCTAGTCCTGCACCACGCGCGCACCTTCGAGTACGGCCCCCCCTTCTGGGTGCCCACCTCCCCCTCATCCGCGCCCTCGCTACGGCCACCTGTTTCCACTCACCACTCCTCAACCCTACATCCTCTTGGTGTACTCTCTACCTCTTCCCCTCCCCCCCCGGCTCTCCCCGCCCTTTCCCCGGTCTCCCCCCCCTCCGCCGGTACGGCTCCCCCAGGCNAATAAACCCTCCCTCCCCCATGTCCCCTTGCGCGGCACCCCCCCAAGCCCCATCCCTGATCCCGCCCCCCTCGCAACCTATCCCCTCAACCTCCCTCTCGACCTCCCTACCACCCCCACCACCTCAAAACCCCCCTCCGCGCCTCGACACCCTATCCCCTTATCCCCTAAACTCCAGCTCCCGCCGTGTCCGCTTGACCATTAGGTCGTGATGTCCACCGCCTCCGCGCAGCGCAGTGCTCCCCCGACGATTGACAGGATCGGGTGGTGGGGTCCCACTCCGTCCCAGCCCCGCCTTGGGACATTAAGCGCGGTGAAAGAGCGCAAGCGCGCCCAGAAGTCCACTACTGCCCGAGCGCGGGCGTATTCCAGGGGGGTTGCTGCTGCTGTTGCTGCTGCTGCTGCTGCTGCTGCTGTTGCTGCTGCTGTTGCTGCTGCTGTTGCCGTCCCCGGTCCCGCGATGGGCCCCTGCGTTTGATCCTCGAGTACCGGCGCGTTCAGCGGCGGCCCCTCGTGCGGTCTCACTCCGTTGGCCAGGTGAAAGAAGTCCGTTATCCGCCGCTGTTGGGGCCCTTGCGCCTGGATCTGTTGCGCTTGCTCTGGCTGTTCTGTCGCGGGGTTAGCCGCCCTTTCCAGTCGCCTTCCGGCTGCTCGCAGACAACACCTGCCTACCTCCATGGCAGACAGGGCTGCCAGGGCGATCACATCCCAGGAATGTATGTATGTATGTATGTATGTATGTATGTATGTATGTATGTATGTATGTATGTATGTATGTATGTATGTATGTATGTATGTATGTATGTATGTATGACGTTGATTACCTGCCTACCTCCATGGCAGACAGGGCTGCCAGGGCGATCACATCCCAGGAATGTATGTATGTATGTATGTATGTATGTATGTATGTATGTATGTATGTATGTATGTATGTATGTATGTATGTATGTATGTATGTATGTATGTATGTATGTATGTATGTATGTATGTATGTATGACGTTGATTACACTGTGGGCTGAAAAGCCGGTATGTATGTATGACTTAGATTACACTGTGGGCCGCGAGAGCCGGGGGCCGAAGCCGAAACACAGCGCAAGGGTCGGGAGCACACAGCACAAGTCGGTTAGTCTTGTGTGCTCCCGACCCCGACTCAGACTGCCATCACTCTACGCAGCCACTCCGCAGCCCCTCCATCCGGGGATGGCGCTGCATTGAATACACCACGAAGGGCTCTCAGGTCCCGCTAGAGCGAGTCCACAAGTCTCAGCTAGGGCAAAGTCAAAGGCTCTCTGAAACAACCCCCCAAAACACCACCAACGAAAACGGGATTCGAAGGGAAAACAAACAAACAAACAAAAATTCGGTTAGGGCAGTCCCGGCAGGGGAGGGCTCCTGATATACCTAACAGGCCAACAAAAAACCTCCAAGAGAGAAAGGCTAAGAGAGCTC